GTAATGTAACTAGTGTTATTTAATTTTCCTTAAAATATGCTTCTAAATGATTACTTTTTATAACCGCGAAACCCTTCCAAAAGTGCAGCAAAATTAATTAAATATGTTCCCTTTAAATAAATTAAATCGTGGATTGTAATTAAGGATAAGGACTAATAAGAACTAATAGGCGTTGTAAAGAAACTTTTTTTCTTCAATTCTTTAACAATTCCTTATCAATTAAATTTAACAAGGATTTAATTTCCTTATCAATTAATTTGTTAACCCCTAAGCTACAAAACCCCCTCATAAATTTAAGGCAATAAATAAAAGGTTTTATAAGTTTTTTATTTATTTTTTAAATTTTAATTAAATATTATTTAATATATATGTTATAATACATTAAATTAAGGTTGTAATTTAGTTTTTTTAATAACTAATTAACTAACTAAATCACGTGATTAGTTAGTTAGTTTTTTCTTAGTTTTAATCAAGGTTATAATTTAGTTAGTTTTAGTTAGTTTAAAGGCTAACTAAAACTAACTAACTAAGCGTTAGTTTTCTTACGTAATTAGTTAGTCTTTAGTTAGTTTGGATTGCGTAATTAGTTAGTTAGTAATTAAGAAAAAACTAAAAACTAACCCCACTTTTTTGAAAATTTATAACTTCTTAAATAAAAATCTTAAAATTAAACAGGCTTATAATTAATAAACTTAAAGGCTTTAATTATATAAAATAGGGTTTACTTTATTTATATCTATTTTATTTAATTAGTTATAAAAATTTTAATTTGAGTAACTTTTTCTATAGGGTAGCTTAAGTTTAAGAAAATATTTTTCCAACTCTCATGAAAATAGTAAAAATTTAAAAATTGATATTTAATTAAATAAAATAGATATAAATAATCTAAAACCAGTTTTAAATAATTAAAACCTTTAAATTTATTGTTTATAGCTTTGCTTAATTTTAAGAATTTTATTTTAATTTAAAAATTAAGTGGGGTTAGGTTTTAGTTTTTTCTTAGTTATTAACTAACTAACTAAGCTATTAGTTAGTTAGTTCGAGGCCTGACTAAAACTAAGCTTAGTTAGTTTAAGCCTTAACTAAAACTAAGGAAAAACTAACTAATTAATCACGTGATTTAGTTAGTTAGTTAGTTATTAAAAAAAAACTAAAAACTAAAGGACTAAATCACAACCTTGGTTTTAATTAAAGCTTAAACTAACTAAGCTTAATTTTAGTTAAGGCTTAAACTAACTAAATAATGGCTTAATTAGTTGGTTAGTAATTAAGAAAAAATTAAAAACTAACCTCGCTTAATTTTTAAATTAAAATAAAATCCTTAAAATTAAACAAAGTTATAAACAATAAATTTAAAGGTTTTAGTTATATAAAGCAGGTTTTAGTTTATTTTTATTTATTTTATTTAATTAAATATTAATTTTTGAAAATTAACTTTTTTTATGTAACTTGGAAAAAAAATATTCTTTTAAGATTTAGCTACCTTATAAACAAAGTTCCTTAATTTAAAAAGTTAATAACTAATTAAATAAAGTAAATAGAAATAAAGTAAAACATGTTTTGTTTAATTAAAACCTTTAAATTTATAAATTATAAGCTTATATAATTTTAGGATTTTTATTTAAAAAGTTATAAATTTCTAAAAAAGTGAGGTTAGTTTTTAGTTTTTTTAGTTATTAACTAACTAAGCTTAGTTAGTTTTAATTAAAACTTAAACTAATTAACTAATTATATAATATAAACTAATTAAAAACTAACTAATTATATAAAAAAACTAAAGCTTAATTAGTTAATTTTAATTAGCTTTTAAACTAATTAAAATTAACTAATTATAACTTTATATTAAATGCATAAACTTAAGTTACTTAATTATTATACGTTGTATAAACTTAATTTTTTTAATTATTATACGCTTAAAGTGGTTTATACGTTTTTTAAAAAATATATATATATTAAAAAAGTAACCTTAATAAAGCTTTTATATATGGTTTTTTTCTTTTTTTACTTTTAAATTTTTATAAATAAAAATGCATTATTTAAACTTAAACTTATATTTCTTTATTATTAGCCATAAAACCCATAAATATAATAACATAAACCATTAGTTTTATAATTAAAAGTGGTAAAGTAAATACTAGTTTAAGCTCGTTAAAATAACTTTAAGTGCATTTTTTTTATCTTATTTTTACCTTCTTTAACTTAGCCCTATTAAGGCTAAGGCCTTACATTAAAACAAGCCTTTCCTTAAAAATACATAACATAATAACCCTTTATAAACTTAAGGCATAACCCTTCGTAAACTTAAAGCATATAATGGCACGAACCACCGGATCTGTGGCTAAAAGTGGCAAAGCAATACTAGTCTAAGCTCGCTGAGATAAGGTTTTAACGCGTTAGCGGGTTCTCTTCTTACGGTCCGGCGTGCGTGGTATTGTTAAAATGCAGTACTATTGAAATAGCAAATCTCATTCAAAACAACACTTTGCTGCTACGATAGCTTAAGCCAAGCGCACTATAAGGTTAAATGAATGATGATCTTATAGTTTAAACCGCGGAACAGAGTCGGTATCGTCTCTATTATAAAATCCCTCCCAGTCTACCCCTTCTACGCCATACCAGGGAGATGGTCAAGCCCTGTAGCATGTTAGCGTCTAACTCATGATTGTCTGGAAGGCAACTGAAACGTACATCCGTCGGTCTCTTCTCCAACCATGTCCTTAACGGTGCACTGATTGGCTGTCGTCATGGCCTGCTTCGTGATGGAACCGCAGCCATCATAGAAGCATTCACTCTTGTTCATGGCGCGCTGTAAGGAATCGCCCTTCCAGCCAAACATGTAGTCGGCATGGGTGCCGTACCCACTGGAGCCCTCAAAGCTCCATACGAAGGGATTGGGGGTACCCGAGGGCCACATGCTGTTGAACTTCGTGGTATCCCAAACGGTCTCGTATGTAACTTGTGGCATGCGGACTATAAACGTCAGCTGCTGTCCGATAGAAGTACTGAAATTCTACGTTAGGAAACATTCTTATACATACCAGGATGGGAGGCTGGGCAGGGGGGAGCGTTCGTAAACCCGTCACGTGTTATGGTATTGTACATGTGAGACTGGTGGTCGGGGCTGTCAAGATTCTTGCCATCCCAGCACCTAGGCACGATTAATACAAGCTCACGCTTCGGGACGTATAGATTACTAACGCAGGGAAGTGGTGGACAGTAAAGATGCCAGCCGGGCAGGGCGTTGTGGGAAAATCCACCATCTCCGGTCCTCTGTTAAGAAGGCTCTGCAGGCAGTTGTACCGAAGACCAATGTGTCCCTTGGCCTGGTCGAGCGTACTGGTGGTCGGGCTGCCCACCGTCATGCGGAATCCCTAGAGAGCGTAAGCATCTTAAAGGTGGTGCCATATCGAGTATCGACTCACTGGGGGGAAAGCTGTGATCGGTTGGTTCTTCAGGTCGTCCGTAGTGAAGTCGTGCTGCGTGTAGTAGATGGTCATTCCACCTTTAGTATTGGGTGCGAGGGCGGCGTTGTTGGTGACCGGCACACGGTGGTAGGAGCCGTTGGTAGGATGCTTGAAGTACAATACTTGCCTCAGTCAGCAGCTAGCCATATAAAGCCTTTCGACCTGAGGGTATTCATCGTCCTCTCTTTGGTCTTTGGCTATACCAGCTCGTAGACGTTGTAAGAGCAATAACTCACCGGCTGTCCAGTAATTGGAAAAGTCCTCGGACATCTCACACGTGGTGCAGGTGCCCCTAGCGCCGACATCGCCAGTCATAGTCGCGTTGAAGGCATTTCCACCTACGATGTGGTGCAGGTGTGAAGAGGGACTCTTGCCGGGCTCGACGACGGGGTCAAGACGCTGAATGGTCAACGATGAGCATCCGAAGCGGAGACCTGCGTGTACTGGCGCGGCGAGCGCGAGAGCGATGGAGAACGACTTCATCTCGACGGCGTATGGTATGCAGAACCAGGGGGGAAGGCGGTGCAGCCGGACCCGGGGCTGGATCCATCCTTATATGTTCGGTTCCATCCTGAAGGGCCCTCGAACGTCGTGTACGGCTATTCCATCCCACGACGCTGCCGGCCAAGCATGACTAGAGCCAATCTATTCCGTACAAATTACTTATCGCGGTAGTTGAGGTTCGGCCCTAAAACGGAAACGGATTATCTGTGTAAACAAATTGGCTCCTATCTATATCACTATACTTACTTTACCCGGCGACATGGTGGTTTAATATATGCATGTGCTAGGCTCCCGTCTATTTCTACTTTGGGACGGCAAGGTACCCCATGGAGCTGGGCTATCGGCAAAAGTCCCTGACCACATGCATATTCGCTCCTTCACTTTCATCTGCGGGTTGGCTCGCGCAAGTGCCGCGAGGACACAAAGTGCTTCGCCTACATCACCTCGCGTCCTAGTGAGTCTATAAGCTATAATGGATAAGTGGAGTTGAGATATGGGGGGCGGTTTTGGGAGGGGAGGCTGCTTGTATGTATTTGGAATTGTCTGCCAGAGATATTGCAGTTGCGTCGCTCAAGAGCTGATGGCCAAGGCGACCCAGCCTCGGCACCGGGCACGTAAGAGATCCCATCATCCTAAGGTCGTCCTGTTGGGTTAGAGATAAACCTGTCGCTGGAATATCGTGAAGGGTAGTGTCCTTCTTGGTTCATGCCCGTTTATACGAGAATGCAGTCGTTCTCTATCTTCGCCAGCAGCAACTTGGTAGCTTCCTGGAGGACGTCTAGCGCGTGGCTCTGAGCTACACGCATAGCAAAAGCTTGTCCTTTGAGGATACCCGGGGCGAGACCTCTCATTGTCCATTTCTCGCTAAGTGCAGGACCCTGAGAGCTTGGCTTTCGCGGTCCGGGCTGCTGTCCAGATCTCGTCATGTAATATCACGTGACGCGCCATGATGATATCAACGTTTGGTCTGTTTTCATGTAGGGCTAAGCAATATATGGCTAGCTTTAAGACCCGTCAAACAACCAAGTATTAGGCACTTTGGCGGAGTGGTTAACGCGATGCCCTGCTATAAACGTAGCGTAGGCATTCCCTTCGGGGGCGTGTGTTCGAATCACACAGGTGTCGCATTTTAGGTTGCAACTGTTTTTATTTTGAGATTTGCTATTTCAATAGGTACTGCATTTCAATAGTACCCCACTTTTCGTGGTCTTTTTTTCGCTGATTGGTCAGATCTATTAAGCTGCCACGAGCTCCTTCTCTAATTCTAACCTAGCAACACCTTCTCTTTCGAATTGACTCTTGCAATTTCAATTGAACTCTTTCCTGGCTCTTGGGCTATCGCCACTGTTGTTCTCCGAGTTATCTCTCCTTTGTACGACTCTTGTATCTGTATGTCTTTTCTTAAATGCACCTTCCTGGATGGATATTCAAGATCCCCTTAAAGGAGGCCCTAGGGGAGGCCCTCCTGCAAGCTCCTAGGAGAAGATATACCAGTCTCTCTTGCTCTTCTCTCGTACGCACAGCTTTAGTATCCTAAAAGCTACTGGCTTAAATAGAGTTAATAGTTCTTAAAGGAGGTTTACATGGTAAAGGTAGCAAAAAAGGCCGTTAGGGAAGCATAGGGAAAGGCTTATCTACTTATGATATTGTTAAGAGTATACTAAAGTGCTAGTAAGTTATAGTAGCGAATAGCTAAAACGTTAGAGAGAAGAATAACTAATAGCTACAAATGAATTTAATCAATTAAGTAAAGATCAATAGAGGCAGAGAGGAGCTTACGAATACTCGTGGCAGCTCAATAGATCTAACCAATCAGCAAAAAAAGACCTCAAAAAGTGGGGTACTATTGAAATGCAATACTATTGAAATAGCAAATCTCTTTATTTTTGGGACTTTCCTTGCTGATTTACCTTTTAAATGTGCCCTGGGGTGCAGGGGTTCCACTTCCGCGATGCAAGGTCATTACCAAACTTCTTCGATGGTTGTTGCTTACGCTTTGGCTCTTAGCAACTTGGCAATTTCAAAATGTTCAGATTTAGATACTTCTTCTCTCCTCGTCCTTATCGTGCTCTACCCTTTTGACCACGTCGCTTAATTTCGAGAAGGTCCTGTTTTTCCTTCCTATCTTCCATTGGTCTCTTTAACCTCCAAGTCCTTAGTTCTCCTTCTTCAGTATCTCTCTGGCAGCTCGCATACGAATTAATGATCAGCGCTGGACTTATTATCTTATTACCCCTGCAGCCTGAGCTTTCCGGTTTAGATAATCTTGGAAAGACTTCATGGTGGCCTTCCTCGTTTCTGGCTTTCGCCTGAGTCTTCCTAGGTCGATTCCTTCGAGATGTAAAGTTTGGTGGCTTCGAGCAAATGGACCGCCCCCTGAGTTTTTGTTCATTTGTCTCCTGTGCACATTGCAGCGCCTTCCAGGTGTATTTTGTTTCGATTTCTCAGACGAGCGAAAAGTACATTCAAGATGCGGGGATGGGGTTCTTCACAGTCCTGCTCCTTCCGCCAGCCAATTCCTGAATGCAAGTACCATGGCGTACACGCCCTGCGGCATGGAGAAATGTCTCTTTACGTAGCCCAGGGAACTATTTCGTCGATATCGACTCAGGGGTCTGCTTATACGTCGAACATGCTGAGCGACCCCCCTTATAGCTAGCTATTGGTAGGTATTCGTAGTCTTACTTTCTCTGCTAAGTTGCCACTCTTTTAGGAAGGTTAGGAATACATACATCATGACCCATCCCAGAGCTCGCCAGGCTAGGAGCGCAAGCCCCGAAGAATCCTCTGGACACTCTCTGAGCTTCGACGGCCCGTTCTAGCTCGAAAGTCCCCAGTTCCTCTTTACCAGTTTTATTGCCGCATATTATATAAGAGAAGTATGATTCCTCCCTTGCACTGCTTGGAGTATGGAGTACGGGAGCGATAGAGGTGCTTCGTATTTATACGGGCCCGTCGGGCATCCCCAGAAATGGCTTCTCAACATGGCGTAACATGGTGTGATACTACTGCTGTTCCTTTCACTTCAAGAAGAAGGCTTACAAGAAATATGACTTTATGGAAGCACAGGTACACCGTTTGAAGCACCAGTCTTTCGGAAAAATGCAGTGTAGGTTATTACCAATCTACCTCTACTGGCAACGATTGCGTGCCCCTACTGCTATCTAATTCATCATGGCACTGATAGACACAGGAAAAGCTTCGCCAACGTTCCGTCTCTAGTGCATCATTCCCAGACCTAGGTGTTCCGGGTCAGCCTTAACAATGCGTTGTGTGTTGGTATTGCCCATGCCACCTCTCCATCCTTGGACAACTACAATGTTGTCTGTCTTGTTAAGCAAACCTAGTTCCAGCGCCTTCTCGACGGCCCACTTGATGCGACGGTCCACATCCTCCTGCCAATTGACGCGGTCATAGTCCGGCTTCGCCTCATTGAACAGGAAGGGGTAGACACCGCGATATAGATGGGCAAATCGTGAGGCTGATGGGTTGCGAGTAACCATGAAAATTGGGCACACTGGTCGGTATTTGGATAGGAGTCGAGCTGAGTCTCCAGATGTTGACAGGACGATAATAGCCCCGGCGTTCAGATCCAACGATGCTCGCACTGCGGCCATAGCACATGCCTCGACGACGCTCGTAGGACGCTTCGTCAGGGAGATCATCTCCTCGTAGTGGCTGACGTAAGGAATAGAGTTCTCTGCTGCGAGGCAAGTGTTGCTCATCTCGCGGACTGCCAACTCCGGGTATGCTCCTTTAGCGGTCTCACCGCTGAGCATGACGCAGTCGGCTCCATCTGTCACAGCGTTCCCGACGTCGCTAATTTCCGCTCTCGTCGGGCGAGGATTCGTGATCATGCTCTCCAACATTTGAGTCGCACAAATCACTGGCTTGCCGGCAATATTGCACTTGGCAATCAGCTTCTTCTGGGCGGCGAATACTTCGTAAGCCGGGATTTCAATGCCCAAGTCTCCTCGAGCAACCATAACACCGTCGGTCTCCTGAAGAATTTCGTCGAAATTATTTAAGCTATTCAAAATCACCGTTAGCGTTGCGCAGATGGTTAGTTACTCCGAGCTCAAGTCCTTTGTCTTTGTGTAAGGGCAATTGGATTAGGGCGATGATGTTGCAGCGGAGAGCGACCTACCCTTGTCGATTCTCGATCTATATTACGATAAGTTAGCAACGAGAGTCAACCCTTCCAGTGGGAAGAAGACTATGTTGAATACCGACCTTGGCAATAATCTGGATATGTTTTCCGTCCTCTCCCAGGACCTCGCGGATCGCGCGAATATCGTCACCTCGACGGATGAAGCTTGCAAAGACCATGTCGACGTTGTTCTTAACTCCAAACCTGAGATCCTTCTTGTCCTTCTCCGAGAGAGCTGGCAGATCTACATCCGTATCGGGAAGGTTGACACCCTTTCGAGAGGAAATAAATCCGTTGTTGCGACATCGAACTTCGACTGTCTTGTCGTCCTTGACCTTGAGCACGTCGAATGCAAGCACACCATCATCGACGTAGATGATTTTTCCGGGCTCGATCACCTTGGTGATGTTCGCATAGTCGACGTACCTATTGGATTTATTAACTGGATATGATCTGACCGTTTTAACGAGTATGCTCCTTACATATTCTCGGCATTGCATGAGGTCTTGTACTTCTCATCTGTCGTGATGTTGAGAACGTGACCAGCCTTGATGGGAATGTCTTCGCCGCGTTCGGTGTCTCCGGTGCGTATCTCGGGGCCTTTGGTATCCAGAGCAATGGCAACTTGACGACCAACAAGCTCCTTTTCGGCGGCGCGGGTGTTGTCAATGACAGATTGGTGGTACTCGTAGCTTCCATGGCTAAAGTTCTACCTATAGTCAGCGTCTCGAGGAAGCAAATTGCGGAAGAGCGGCACCCACCATGCGCACAATGTTCAGACCAGCTCGTCGCCTAGGTATTGTGTCAGCTTCTGGGAAAACGACCTACTATCACTGAGACTGAGACTTACAAGGAGTTGATCTTCTCGACCGAATTTGTCTTGGGTCCGATGGTGCAGATAATGGAGGTTCGTCGATGAGCGTTCTTGCTGGGCGCCCCGGCGGTGTCGAGGCTTGCAAGCCATTCGACACGACTGCCTAGGGCGAGGTGGTCGAGAGAGGACGCAGACATTGTATCCAGTATCCAGGTGCTACTCGAGCCTGAGGGGTGCCGAGTCAACGAGGATAGCTTGTAGGGCTGTCGAGTTAAGAGTCCGGGAAGATAGCAGAAGGGGTTGGTCTAGAAATGAAGGGAACTGAGGAGCGGAACGGACATGAAAGGGTAGAGGAGGTCGGACGAGAGAAAAAGAAAATCAAGTTGAGGTATTTCTCAACTCTGAATATTTTCAACTTGGATTGAGAAGTTACGGATTAACCCCACCTTCACGGATTTGCTGAAGCAGTTCAAAGCTTCTAGGCCAAGAATTGGCCAGTCCCTGCGCGGGGCATTTGATGAGGGGCGCGCAATCGGGGTCGCCCTACGTTAGTCGAGTACAACCGTCAGTCCCCTTACACCCTGTTATCTACCGCTCTCTAACGTCGCATGCACCTCCTTATGCACCTAGGAGACCCAATTGTAGGGCCAGGATCAAGGGACCTTGCCTTATCTTGAACTTAGCGTAGGGGAGGTACCTGCTTCTTCCTTGCCTACACAGGTAACTTTACGAGGTGACTGCACCTGTACGTGTAGATAATTTATTACCTACCCTTCCTGCCTTCTTAACCAAACGGGGCTCGTCCTTGCCCACATGCAGGACTGAGTGGATTACAGCTCGTCTTGTAACCGAGTAGGAACGACTCGATTAATATACCGCCTGCAGACGCCATCAGCTGAGCTACCTTACCACGCGCTGGCGGGGAGAACAGTGGGACGACTGCTGATTGTCAGGTACCTACTACATAGGTAGATGTACATGTGAATGCCTGGGCATATAATTCCGCTTCTCAACAAATGACCTTCAACAAACAACTTTTCATCAGTCAATATAAATGAAGACAGCCCCCAATCCCCGCCACCACACAGCGCATATTCATCGCCCAAAAAAAGGTCCCCTTCGGCGTCGACCCAGATTTGGCCCAAAGAAACAAGCAAATAAGCCAAGGCGGCTTCAAGCAGCACGACGCAGGTTTCGGTGAATTTGATTAGTTGACGGATCCCAAATCAGCCATCGTCGTAATTCGCTCTCACCGCTACCTGCGTCTGACCAATGTCGTCAAATGGCGCATATATCACTTCGACTTATCCAGCTTTGTACAAGTGCACCCTAGCACGCCCAGAGTTCGCTGCGGCGAGTCTCTTGACGGAACATGTATAACCCCCTGAGACTCGAATACTAGGGGTCAGGTCAAACCATACCACTACTTTTGAGGTCAATCCTCGATGAAATAGCGCAAATGTCTTCCATCAATCCGAACAGCGACTAAATTCAAATGATATACTAATTACCACAGCTATAGCCTAGATATTCGGCTTCTTAGCTTGATGTACGACTGTAACGTTCCAGAGTGCAAGCCGGCTACCATGAATACACTATCGTGGACCTGTTCTCGTGGCACTTGTTACGGCCGCTATAGTACACAGGGAAGTTGGGAGCAAGCAGGTGCATCGCCAACTTCGCCTCCGATGACATGGCTTTCAACTAATACTTAGTGGAAGCTCGCCCGCAATAGAAACTAAGGAGACTAGGTCTATCTTCCTAGGCCGTTATCGGGTACAGGTAATCGAAGTCTACGTGGCTCGTAGAGCTAAACTAAGCATGATTTGAGGATTCACAGAGGAGGGACCTCTTGAAAATTCCCATATCAGTCTCTGCAGTCTCCTTCGCCTAGACTATCCTGATCCCATTTTACGTCTAAAAGTATTCCAGGCTCCAGTGCCGCCAGTTCGGGAGTGTTAGTAACGTACCACGCGGCTGACAATCTTCCTGGTGGAAGTTCCAGGTTGGATATCATGTTCGAAGGTATTTAACAATCAGCGTCCGTTAGGTAGGTAAGGGCCCCTGCGCTTAGCCTCACCACCGTAATATCTATGGGGGAAAGGAATCCCCTTTTCTTGATTGTATTTCGTTTAGCCTGGTACTCAGCTAATACCTATTCAAGTTCCGCTTTCAGCATTTCCCTTATATGTCCCCATTTTCTTAATCCGGGTGATGCGCTGGTAGACCTGTTCCCTGCCGAGTCCTTTGTCCATCGGATATAAGAAGGCACTTCAGAGCTGGCACAAAACAATGAATAACATTTGTAAAGCATTCATCACACTAAAAATCTCAAATTATTACCTGGTATAAAAATACATCACTTTATAGAAGATGGCTACTTCAGCTCCAGGCCCGACACCTCCAGGTTCGACACCTCCAGGTCCGGCACCTCCGTCCACGACACGTGCAGCCACGGCACCTCCGGTCACAGTACCTCCAGCCACGGCACCTCCGGTCACAGTACCTCCAGCCCCGGCACCGCCCGCCCAACCGCCGCCACGCCCGGTCCCACCGCCACCCACGGCGGAAGAGTTAGCAGAAGCACGGAGGGAAGCTAGGAGGAGACAGGACAGGGCAGTGGCAAAGCTCCGAGCTGAATTGAAAGCCGGGAAGTTGGCGATATGCGTTGGATCGGGTGTCACATTGTTTTCAGTTCCTGCCGTGGAACGTCGACGTTTGGGAGTGCGTAAGACGTGTTTCTCTAATCTCTCATAGAACTACCCCGGAAGCCGGATCTCTTTGGTTAAACTAGGGTTTCAGACGTGCATAGGATCCCTGGCCGCTCTATCGAAGAAGTAGTTACTAAATTCAGCTTTCTAGTGGACCGGTCTCGTTATGAACGCTCTCCAATATATTGAGGACCAAGCCAGTGGCATTGCACACGCGAACAGGAGAGATTTAGACGTTGCCAAGACCTTGCTACGAGCTGCCGATGTCACGGAGCATGATCTGTTCGACGCCATCAATAGGGTGACCTTGGTGATGAAAAAGCGCACCGATCTTTACTCGGGCTGGCTGAGGCATGCGTTTGACGGCTTATACGACGTGTGTGTAGATCAGGGCAATATGGAACTACTCGATAGCCTAAGGCAGCTACAACGTAAGGGAGCGATGTTGCTAACTACAAACTACGATGACCTCCTCGAGAAACACTGTGGACTCCCTGCGCTTAGTGCCTCGGAAACCGATCGTCTATACTCATTCCAGCGGAGATCTTTCAACGCAGTGTTCCATCCTCACGGCCATTGGCAGGACTCGGATAATGTAGTGCTATCTGCGGAGCATTACTACGACGTTACAAAACACGAAGAGGTCCAGGAAACGTTGAGGCACATCCTATCTACCAGAACCGTGTTATTCGTCGGCTGCGGCGGTGGCCTTGAAGATCCCAACGTAGGGCCACTCTTGCGTTGGATCGGAGAGAAGCATGCAAGCCGCGGGGCCGGGCACTATCTTCTGCTCTCTAGGGACACCCCGAACCCGGTGCCATCGTTATCCCTGAATCACGTTATATGCGAGAGCCGTGCCGATATTGCACCCTGGCTGATGAGGTTGTTGGAACCATCTGAACGACGCGAGGGCGTTGGCAAGTGATCCAACACATATGCAGGTTATTCCGAGTCTAACTCTGGTTCGCAGTTCACGAGTTTCCCAATAACCGCCAGCGGATAAATATCAGTAATTGGCTTTCACCCGTCGACCAGACTTGGTTTCTTAGTGATGTTTCGGAGTTGGCGACGAGAGCAGCGGTTCCATTTCATCAAGAGGTAACAGGCGAACAGAGCATTTGGGATATACCCGGTACATTTTTCTGGGTCACAGGGCAAGGTATGTCCCCGTTAAACGCTGTTACATATGTAGACATAACTGACCGTATCCACGTGCAGAAGGATGGGGTAAGACGGTATTCTGCTCTTCGGTTATAGACAGTACAAGGCAGATGTGTCGCCGAAGAAGCGCCCAACCGCCAAGGTCTCGAGATTCTCTCGCTTACTTCTTCTGTACGACGTACGATGTACACGAGAGAGCATCGCCATTGCGGCAACACGACTTCAGCGACTTTGCCTGCACTGTTCTCGAACAGTTATGCCCACCGAAGAAGATTCATGAAGCTCTCCGCCAACTATACACCCGGTGCACGCAGTATCATCCCGCAAGGAGACCTACCCATGCGGAACTCCAGGACGCCCTCATTACAGTTATTGACTCACTGGACCGTGAGGTTGTTAAGCCAGGCCAAGATAATATTCAGCCCGGAGAGACTTATCTTATCTTGGACGGCTTGGACGGAGTCTCCAGGTCGTATAGGGATCCTTTTGTGAGTTTCTTGAGAGAAATAAAGTCTCGAAACTTTCAGCATTTTCATCTACTGTTGGGCAGTCGCTACTTGCATTACATTCGAAATATGCCGGGACAGCAATGGGAAGAATTCGTCTGCAACCACATCTCCGTGCATGATACAATTGAAGGTTACTTATTACACCGCATTTATAACGAGCCAGACTTTTGGGGCACAGACCGAGAACCTGGTGATGCAGAGAGAGCGCTGGTTGTAAATAGACTACTCACCCTACCTCAAAACAGGTAAGCTGCCTCATATCTATCATTTCATCTCTAGACTTGTTCAGTTGACAATCCGCTGTAGCTTCCGAAATCTCTATTGGAAAATGGAAGCTTTAAGGGACTTGGAATCTTTTAATGTGGACATAGCGAACGCTATTTTAGACGCACCATTCGAAGACGATGACCAGCGAGAGCGTAAACGCGCAAGGATAGTTTAACTCTTCCTCTCCTCGTCTTTCCATTTTATATAGGTACCTACTTATATGTGTTGGATAGAAGAAGAGAAATAGGCGAAACAACGAAAGGGTGGTAGTCCAGGACCGCAGTGTTAGAACTCGTCAAACTGTTTCTCCTTCCGAAATGTATGAAATATAATTACATATTTTGGCTTGCAATAAAAGAAAATGTCATTTATGAAGTGGTCTCCTAGTGGCTTAACACGCCGCGATGATGCTTACGATAATAGAAAAAGGGGTCGCTGTAGACCTTCAAAGAAGAGGAAAAAAGATAGAAAATTGCGACACTGGCCCGATTCGAACGGGCGCCTCCGAAGAGATGTGATAGGCACGGACTACGATACATACTCTGTTCATAGTCGTTCGAGTCACACGCGTTAGACCACTCCGCCACAGTGCCAATACTACCAATTGACCATGTTGTTCGGCGACTCTAAGACCGACTATAAGCCTCAGAGGTTGTTCCTATAGGTACGCTTCCGTTGGTTTGAAGCCGCCAGCGGGGCGGGGAGGGGCAATCACGCCTACATACCTCCACTAGCTGTGGATTTGGTGCCTGTGGTTGTAAGATACATGTACCTAATGTATGCGCTAACAGCACCGGCTAGTGTAAGGTCATGTCGACTTGACACCAAGCATCACGCACCATTGTCTCTACCCTGCACGAATCGGTACGTCTGCCCTATCCATATGTTCCGTAGAAAGAATAACATATCAAAACAATATCCTCTTTCCTCTCGAGTGCGGAAAGGAGCCTTAAACATTACGAGGTCAACGCAAACAGTACCTAATCAATGTAAGTGATCAAATGAAAGACGAATAAAAAATAATGTACATATGTATGTAGTTCTTAATGTCACCGCTCTCAATGACATTATGTACCCTCCCTTTCTCAGATCACGGTCTCCCTTCTAATGAAACGCACAAGCCGAATCCTATGCCTCCCACTTGGCATTCCAGTCTATTAACGCGTCATTTCCTAGCTTCATCTTCACTAACCGATGGCTCAGGTCCCACAGAGCAGCTCCCAACAAAGGATCCGAAGCTTGCGAAGATTCTTTACCGGGCTTGCCCGGGTCGTTGAAATAATAACCGTTCAGGTCCTTCTCCTCGATTTCGGGGGCCGTGAGAGCCCATAGCGCGCTGTAGGACCCTTGTTCGACGTCGCGGCCCATCGACAGCATCGCATAGGAAAGAAGCTGGCCAGTAATTCCGGGATACGCGTCTTTCCACTGCTGCTGCATTGCTGTGTTCACCTATTCCCCCATTAGCCACGGAATTCAGGGTTATATGCCGCCGCCGAGCTCTTCGCAAAATGCACCCACTCACCGCACCGGGATGTACCGCAAGCGCGTATATACGATCACCTGTCTGCCTGATGGCTTTTCCGGCGAGGCCATACTTCGCTAGTAGGATCATGGCTAACTTAGTCCGGCCATATAACTCGGTAGGTCCGAGACTGGGGTTATTAATCTCCTCTAGGCTTCCAAAGTGTACGACACTGGGCGCCATGCGATGCTGCCATAACAAGTCAGTAATCACCCTTTCAGGAATGGCGACCCAAGAATTTCAGGTAGAAGAGAGAACAGTGACTCCTCAATCATCCTGATCGGGAGATTATGACTCTCATAGCAGACCAAATAGGAAAACAGGACTCTCGGTGTTACTCACGACCTCGCTGCTCTCGAAGACAATGCGTGGCGCCGGTGTATCGGGCCTACGAGCTGTCTTTCTGATCAAGGGCCATAACTGGTTGATCACATAGAAGTGGCCTAGATAATTGACACCAAAATGACGGTCAATGTTGTCGGAATCCACCCCGTACTGGTTCGTGTTGATCCCGGCAGCACAAACTACGAAGTCAACGCGGCCGAGCTCCTCGCGAAGCTTGCTGAATACTTCTTGAATCTGCTTTAGATTGCCCACTGAAGCAGTTACGGTTAGTGATTGTTGTCGGACCTAAAAGATGTGCCTCGATAGGGATGCCCAACTCTCGAGTCGGAATATACATACTGTCACACTCTTTCCACTCCACTTGAGCACCAGGCGTTTCTTTCTTGATCGTTTCGATGGCAGATTCCCCTTGCTCTTCTTTCCGGTTTACCATGATAACTTTGCAGCCCGCATGTGCGAGAGCACGACTCACTTCGAATCCAATTCCTAACGCGCCGCCCGTCACGACGGCGACCCGGCCATCTAGGTTTGTAGGATGGACCTCCTTAGGCCCAATCACATTGTGGAGTACGGATTGCATGATTGAAAGTGTTTTCGAGGACAAGCAAAATGTTTGCAGTCACAGTATCTGTTTTGTTGGAATGATGACACCCGAGAAGAACGCAGTTATATACATTGCAGCGACTTGTGTCATAAACCAACTGAGACAGGGGAGACATAGATCGACCAAGCTGTGACGTTAGTCTAGCGTAGTGTTTGGTGGCCAATCAGAGAATATGATTTTGAGCATAAACGTCACGATTATAGTACCTACATGTATGCTAAGATGATGAGGCGCTAACGACGTAATCTCCATAGGGAAGACAGCCGCAGTCGCGTCTCAAACTATAAGCTTAGTATATTTGCTACCAGAATGGGCAGTAGCCAGCAGCATTTGGTGGCAGTCGTGGTGTACGCAGCTCTATTATGAACTCTTTCCCCTTTGAGTTATTTGTATGTCATCGACTTCGATATTCCCTCCTCGTTGTTATGAACTTGGCATTTTAAATGCTATATTAAGGCCTCTAGATAGATACCTATGTATTCGTTGTCAACATAATATGTAAACACCAGTTATTTCAAAGCTACATAATGCAAGTACTGATAATACAATTTTGTTACTATAATTGTTCTCGGGGTCCTCTCCTAATCACATGCAGGAAGGGCAACGTGCCCTAAAGGAAACAGTTTGATAATGCTAGGAGACACCTAGTAACGTACAATACTCGATTGAGATGATGCTGTTACACGAGTATATCTATCCTTCATAGCTCTGAAAAATCAGTTAGATGTAACTTATCAGCATGTGTACCTATACATTCCAGCTTAGTTGCAATATTAAATTATTCTGGTTCATGTGGCGATGTCCAAGTTGATAATCCCATAAGCCACTTATAGAATATGGATTACTGTAATAAAAGAACCTCGATATAACGCGTAGAACATTGAATCATGATTTATTGCCCATGAATGAAACCCAACAAGTAGCGTGGCTTAAGTCGACTTGATCGAGACGGTCATGCCACTTAGGCAGCAGGTGGCCGTTGTTGTCATACGGCTCAAGCACTGCCCATTGCTGCCAAGAACGAACAAGGTCACGAAGCCTATCAATATTGAACCTGAACCACTCCCTGTGGCTTATACGGCAGCCAGGACAACCTAGCGGCTCGCTCATTCTCACGCTAGAGAGGAGCAAGTGTATAACTCTTTCGTATCGACGAGGGCTTGGCATCTCCCAAACGCCAATTAATCGAGGTTGGTATTGGCATTGCCTGCTAATTTCAGCGAGGCGCCTATGGACGTTATTGGAATAGCCGATCTTCACATATTCGCAACTGGCCTTTCCATTGACGTAGTGGGAGTCCGGCAGGCTGAAAGCATATACGGAACCCGCGTAGAACTCGGTCTTCCGCAGCGGAGTCATAAGTTGGTGTTTGACCTCCAAGTTAATTTCGAAGAACGATTTTTCTCGGCAATAATACTCGAAGTGATGATGAAGAGGCTCATAACGCGGTGTATCGGATGGCCGTGGCACTCGCGAGGTCTTCTCTTTGGTAGGTGTTGTCTCGGGGACTTGAGAGTTCTGGGGAGGTGGTGATGCTCGACCATGCTTGGGGCTGCTTGAGATGGAATTCAGCTGCTGCTCCCATACTTCGGCCTTCGAACTACTCTGATGTTGATGCCATCTTTTACACAACACTGCACCGGCTAAATCCTCTAAGATCTCGAGAACTCTGCTGGTGACGCCGCCACTGGCAGCAATGGAGCAGGTGAGCTCTGTTATCTTTGCCGCAGTAGTTTTACTGAGCCAGTTGCCACAAGACAGCTTGCGTTTGGATCGACCATGACACTTGAGCATATCCCCAGGTTGGATATTCAAAAAATCCCGGACGGCCCCAGGGGTCCTTGGCCATTGCGGATCTGGCATCGTAGTCGACTTAAGGAGTGGATATATATATTCACAAGTAGTATGCCTTTTTCGGGATGGAGAAAATGAGAGTGTGCAAGAGGCAGGGACCGTCTCAGGAAGACGAGTCTCTAAAGAGGAATGTGACTACATGGCATAATGGAGCGAGGCCTCCTGGACGTCCAGCAGCCCAAACCATTATACTTCTGGTTAGGAGCTCCGACGATTATAGATGCGGTGTTAATCAGCTGATATACACAGGTGAGATGCAGAGACTGCCCGTAGCCTTTTCCCACGGGAGACCTATGACACTGGGGAAATGGGGAGAGTCGCAATGAACTGTAATGGCCTCGGCCATGTTACTTCCATCTCACTAATCGCTGGGGTGCTAAGAGTGTTAGAAGGCTATGCGAGCTAGGGGGTGATGGCTTTCAGAGGCTGAACCCACGTAGCTCATTAATTATCTTTAATCTATAATACTTGGATACGTACCCTGGCTTGTGCTTCCCTAAAATTGTATTTAAGTGTCTTAGGACCTAGGTAATCCATGCTTGGCATAAATCACTAAACGATGAAGACCATAAGGTTTGCAACGAGGGAATAGGAGTTAGGAGAAATTCACACATATGGATATAGCTATTATATCAAGTACTCTTTGCTCCTAGTGAGAGAGAGAGAGAGTGAGAGAGACAGAGAGAGGAAAAGAGAGAGTGGGGGTTCTTGAAGCGAAGGGTTGGTTGACCATGCGAATAGGGGTCGAGGATAATATGTTGAGCGAATCATATCACTTTACACACTACCAACAATGTTTTGACAGCGGCCGCATTGAAGTCGACCTTGTCAACCTTGGGGGAGCCCGACTTCACCCCCGGCGGTTAGAGACATAATATGACTGGGTACGCATTGCATGAAGGGGTCACCTGTCTAAGCGGGCATCTATCCCCTTCTTCAGCTGCCTCTTACATGCTTCGAGTACCTGGCCTACGGCTGCAAGCATGAGTTCCGCAAGGCTGACTTTGTCCGAACGAGAGCATTCTAGGAATGAATCACTTAGAAGCAGTATGCCAGTTCTCCCTGGGATCTACAGGACACATCTGTGCTCGGGGCCTGCTTATGTCGTGTAGACGCTTGTTTGGTGACAAGTATTGCTTCATGGCCAATGGTTGAGATGCTGATCTAATTAATTACCTACTTTGTAGGTCTATGGTTGAAAACCACATGGTTCTAGAACCTAATCTGAAGCGTTCGCTGGCATGCCTAGCATACTCCCAAGCATGGCA